CGTTACCCGCTGAAATGTCACGGTTCCTACTCGTTAACATATAATGTAGATAAATAATGAAGTCATGTCAAACAAAGACACAAATACTTACAAGACCAAAGTTAATGTCTTTTCGCTTCCAGTGTTTGCACTAAACTCTCGCCCGTTGCTCGCTGAAAGGCCGAATTCGTAACGTATCCCTCGTTTAAAAATGGCGGATGTGTTTATCGCGAGATCTGGCAACTCTGATGTATACTAACTTTGAAGTCTCGCGTTGCGAGGAGTCATGTGTCAGTAGGGCTACAGCTGCCATCTAGCGGTTGAAAATTTTTTTTTAAATTAAAATGAAAGTTAATGTTGTGAACGTTAGAGCGAAAATAAAGATGATTTAAATGTTTCAAACGTTTACTTGCATTTGATGACATTATATCACGCACCTCAACAGCTGCATGGGTGAAAACTACATGTAACCAATTTGGTCTGAAACAGGGCTACAGCCAAGCCGTTGATTTTAGACCACTGATTGCCTCTATGTCGCCAGATTACACGTAGCCTGTCCAAATAAGAGCTAAATCGTGGCTACAGATAGACCTTGTCGATATTATTGACATTGCAAAAATAATGGGATAGCAACCATCTCACGTGCTGCCAGGGCAAAAACCACTATTAATCTTTTTTGACTAAAAGTGGGCTACAAATAGCCGGTCTGTCTACGAGCTAAATGGTGTCTACGCACAGGCTGCACGTAAATCATGTGAAATGAAACAAAAAACTTTGTAATCACTGTAGACCTTGCTTAAATGATGGAATATCATACACATTGCAAATTATTTTGGCAAAAACGTCATGTAACCACATGTAAAGCTAGAAGTGGGTTACTCATAGCCGGACTAAATCAGGTCTATAGTAAACCTTGACGGTGAAATGACGGCTATTGCTTGCTGGGCAACATCACTGCCATGGTTCCTTCATATGAAAAACATGAGGGATGCCTGGGCGAGGACCATTTCCAGATTAAATTCCCAAGAACTACCTGTTAATCAAACTTTGCATGGGATGTGTCTCAAAACACTAATAGAAAAAGGGAAAGCTAGACCTAAAGAGACAACAGATCACAGCATTGACAAAATGCATAATATGAGATTAATAATCTCACTGTAAATTCCAGTATGAGGATGGCCTATTATGAGAACCACACCAGTCCAAGTCTATTATTTTATAATAAAGTTGGCCCACAAAAGGTATCTGTAAAGTTACATAACACACTTTCCTTAATGGAATATAATACTGTTCGGGAAAGCAGGGTGATTTGAGCTACCACACATTTTTGAAAAATAATCCATTTACTCACCCTGTGATAGAGAGACCCATGGATAAAGTGATAACCACATTTAATATATTTTTAAAAAGATATTTGCCATTTAAAGTATTTTTTTTATGTTCAATGAGTCTTGATTCGTGTGTCTATACGTTTAAGTCTAAGAAAATCTCCCAGTGTTTTAGGAAATTACAATATGAAGCTATAGACATGGCTTCAACTCCTCTTATGGATTTGGACAGAGTAGTGGGAGAGGTACAGGATGGGAAGTCCATACATCAGGTGGCAAGAGACATGAAGATGAACAGAATGACTTTAAAGAGATATATTCAACTAGGAGACATATCAAAATTACAGCTGCAATGTTTCACTAAGTGCAATGAAATGTTGAGAACTAACAATTGAGTTGGCACAATGGAATTACATTGATGTACCTGACTCCCTTGTGGCTTAGTCCTCTCACTAGGCTCAACTTACCCCTTATTGGGCGCAAGTTGAGACAATAAGAGACCACTTTTTTTGGAAAGTCATGTTTTGAAAATTGTTTAATTTAGATCCAAAGTGATTATTCCCAGTGATGCACCACGTAAAAATGAGAACTTGAAATTGCTCATCTTAATTTATATTTATGAGTAAACTGAACAAATAATACTTAATGGCACTGTAAACTTTGTGCCCAAAGTTTCTTCAAATAAGTTGGTCTCAATGCAAAATTTATTGCGGCACAACTTTGAAATTGTAGTTGGAGCTGAGCCAACTCAAGTTGATGCCAGGTCAAGTACCCTGTGTATGCTTCACGCTAAGAATGGGGTTTCCTAAGCAGTCCTGCAGGGGTATTCATCAAGATGTTAGTGTTGGAGATGCCAGGACAGCTCTCCTGTTTTCTTCTGGAGAACCTGAAGTCAAAAAGGTGAGTATTTTGTTTGAATATAGCACTGCAAGTCTGGCTTTGCAGTAGTCACATGTTTAATTTTTTATTTAATCGTGTGCTTGATGCTACACAGTAGCTTGCCTACTAACTAAATAGTCAGTTAATGTTAGCATGGTAAACATAAACTTACTCGGTTTGATAAATTTTTTTTGTCCACATGGATTATGTTGGTTAAATCCGCTGGACATCCTGTGAGCAGGCATACCATTGACGAACCACCACTTTCTGGTCGTATTCCAGTCATTACCAACACTGACTTTGCTGTAGCTAACCTTAGCTACACTGCACACGGGGGGTTCAGGAAAGGAAGACAACACCCATTCTCTGGAATATTTATCTAAATATATTTTGAGCTTTATTAATGCTCATGGAGCGTCAATGACAAAACAGCAGATTGTCACGGTCAGAGAATTTTGAACCACTATTCGTTTATGTATTACATCAAAATTAATACTGCTAACTAGCGCAATTTTTTTTTTATGGCCATATAGCCTACAGGTTTTCCCATAAATGTATTTAAGTGTGCCCGACCTACCATGTCATTTTGTCAAGGCATTTATGCTACACTCTTTAGAAATGATTAGGTCCACTTAAGACAAAACTAATGCAGTGGCTCTGCATTATAACCTTTCTGTAACAGGTATTGGTATTATGTTAGTTAGTTTATTTAATCTGTTTGAAAGAGGTATTTAATTATTTTAATAGTCAATTTGGAGGCTGTTAGTCAACCGCACTAGTTTATACTGGGAGGTGTTCTTAACATTTTTTCAACTGTACTTTTTTATCTATGTATAGGATGAACTAAATACTTCTCAGTGTAAAGTAACTAAGTATGCCATGACTCAAAAATTTAAAAACTCATAATAGTCCTCATAAAGAAAGGATTTATAATTTCAGAGCTGTTGTATTACACTGGATTAGTTGTTGGTGTACCTAATAAACTGACAACTGTGAGAGTGTATCCATTACTTCCCAACCCTTTAGGACACTAAAGGGTTGGGAAGTAATGGATTACATGTAACGGCGTTACTTAATCAGGATACAAAAAAAGTAACTGTATTCCCTGAGAGAAAAAATAAGATGTAATCAGATTACAGGTACATTTTGTAAAATTGGGGATTACTCATAGGGATTACTTTAAGAAACAGAAAGTGCAGTGTTATTTGCCTCCGTATGTTTTTTAATATACAGTCTATATTATATGTGTTTCTGTGGAAACACAAAGCTAGGGAGGGACGTGTCGCTGACATTGATTGGCGTTTACAGTCGCTAGTAGCGCTGTATGCGTGTTTATGCCCCCTCCCCGTCATGCAGACTGGTTTCAGCTCTCAGTGAGTGAACACGGCAGCCGGACCGGAACCGAGCACAGCATACACAGCCTCCGAGACCGACAGAGGCCAGTGGGAATACAGTCCTGATGTGGTTTTCTTGCCGTGTTTGGCTCTTGGCACCCGGGGCTGAGTAAGCTAACTGAACTAGCAGCACGGCTAATCGACCAAGCTAACATACAGGTGATAGGCTACAGTTTGCGGTTTAGCAAAAAGGAAAGCTATCCACAAGGAAGCTCTGTGTAAAACATCTCAGTACAGGATTCCCTGTTGGTCTCTGAGACTGTGTTAGGTCTTGTTCATGCCGTGTTCACTGGGAGGCTGCTTAGCAAGGTTTTGTTGGCCACTCGCCAGGCTCCGTTCCCAATCAGGAACCGCACAACTCCATCATTCCCTGCTGCCCCCCGCCCCTGTCATGAAAACCGGCAGTTACATTAACAGTTAACTGAGCTAATAACAGCAGCTAGTTAGCGGTTAACTAACTTAAGCAACAAGTAACGTTGAAGCTATCTGTCCATCAGGAAACTCAGAGTTGAGGCAGAGCAACCGGAGGACATCAGAGAGAAAACTAGAATATATTTTCTCCATATTTCTAATATTTCTCCATCAGATATGATCCAGTTTCACGAAAGTTTTTTTTACAGTACAGTAATCCTGTGGGGCCCAGTCCCAGAAACACCGTGCTTCAGCAGTATTATATTGAGAAATCTTTTAATTGGATGCTAAATTAATACAAGTGCAGAATGAGTCATCAACATTTTAAAATGCTATTCCAAATGACAAACTGTTAAATATCATCAAGAATACCTACAAAACACCTTTTTTGTCATTAATGGGTCAGATACTGCCATAGTGCAAAGCATAAAAACATTTAAACATGGATTTTGATTTCATGGGAATGGAAGATTTTGTATATGTTTTCTTTAAATATACAATGAGCAGAAAATGCATCAGTGATACTCGTCTTCATTTGCCTGTTTGGCACTGAAGTAATCCAAAAGTAACTAGCAGTCAGATTACATTACTTTTATTTTGTGGTACTTGTATTACGTTACTAATACATACTACATTTTTTAGCAAGTAATTTGTAATTGTACTGGATTACATTTTTAAAGTAATCCTCCCAACCCTGGTGTTCAATACATTTGTGCATTTTTAGGTTCACAACGCTGACCCTGCATTCCTCACAAAATGTAAAACAACTAATTTGTTTATCTCTAAATGTTTTATTCTTACTGCAGTTGTCCTGTGAAGCTAGATGCTGCTCCGTGGTCAGTCCCACCGGGAAAGGTGTACTGAGGTTCCACCAACCACAACACACTCTTGTGTGATAGACAGGTACGTACATATGCGTGTTGTCGTGCATTTACATCTATAATAAACTCAATTGCCAGTTTATAAGGTAAACTTAGATAGAACTAATGCAGTATAACACAACATTCCTGCAATGATGTTCAGTTTTTATTGAATATGTTTTAGAGAGGTGTTAATTTATTGTAATGGTCATTTTGTACTCCTATAATATGTAATGGTTTCTACACTGCATTCACCAATTCACACACATTTATACAGCCCTTTCTATGCCCTGGGCTTCTTAATCGCACAAAAATTCACACCCTGATGGAACAGTGATCAGAGGCAATTTGGGGTTCCTCTGTGCCCAAGTACACTTTGACATGCGGAGCCGTGGAATAGAACCACCGACCTTCCGATTAACGGACGACCCGCTTTACCTCCTGAGCCACAGCCGCCCAAAATGAAATGGGATGAACAGAATATAAGAAACACCTTTCAGTACATCCCAGAATAGTTTAACAGCAGCACTAATTACAGCCTCCAAAATTACCATTCAAATCATTTTTTATAATTTTTTTTCGGGACACACACAGAACAGACAGCTAGCAGACTGTAAGTTGATGTACACAAAAAGTGTATTGAATTAAAAATTGTAAATGGGAAATAAACGTAAACTTTTTGTAGACTTCAGGGAATATCTCCTCGCAGTCTGCGAGCCAGAAGCCAGCGAGTGCGAAAGAGATGGTAAATCAAGTGCATTCGAACATGCTACACAATAGAGAAGGTAAGGTGTGTGTTTGTAAGGAAATACAGTATATGCACAGCCTGAATAGAAGGCAGTGTGGTCGTGCACAGTATACTATTAAAGTGTGTAAAAATATTTTGTTGTATAGATCCATTAAAAGTAAATCGACTAATTTGCCTTTTATTTCTCATTGTCCTTGCAGTTATCCTATGAAGTGTGGGTTCTGCAGTTGTCTCAGCTCAAGTCAACAAGATCTATTGAGCCGTAGACTACGACACGGAAGAGCTCACTGGCCCTGTGTTGCATTAAACACACTTTACCAGATCACATTGCAGGACTGACATCTACCTTTTCCTATGAGTAATGTGAATTTCGAGAAACTTGGACTAAGCGCAGATTTTTCATTCATCTGGCACATCATTTAAAAAGTCAACAGACTGTGCATTGCCCAGAAATTGCTAAAAATGAAACCTGTACCATTGACACTTATATCATTGATGGTGTTGGGCAGTAATGCAATGTAATATGGCTGGCTATATGGCAAAAAGAATACAGTTTTTACCTGGGAAATGGACATGGACCCCTGCATTGACAAGAAAAGAAAATGCAGAGTCATCCTGCAACTTTCTTTAACCTGACTTTGCTGCATCAAAATGAAAGATTATGTGGCAAAGAACTGAGTTAGCCAATCAAATATCTTTTAAATTAGACTAATTGTATAATATTTCATCATTTAGCTTCTATCTGAAGCAACATTCCCACACCAACACAGACCCTTGTGTTTTCTCTCAAGTGTCATTTTTGGGGGTTGAGACAGAATTTCAGTCAGGTACTAAATAGTTTAAGAACCATAAAGTCTATGTCATTCAACCATCTCATCATACATTTATAATAGCCTTTAACAGAGCCTATGGTGAAAAATGTTTGCACTTAATGCTGTAATAGATCTACAGTTTTCTTGGATTTTGATCACTGCCAATCATTCTGAAATGTTTAAAAGAAATCTGAGATTAAATTGCTAAATATACATATTCATTATAAAATTTCACAGTCACAGCTGGACTAATGCACTTTTCTAAAACAGTACACTATCCCTCCTACGTTGCAAGTCAGTGCTAAAATATTATCTTTCATGTTAAAATGTAAATGTGAAATGGTGTCCCCGCGTCCCTGTACACACATCGGTTGACGATGGATGGATGGATGGATGGAAATGTTGGCTCCAGTTATAGCAATGTAGTATTTTTTTTTATCCCCAGTATGTCTGATTAGCAAGCTAGCAATTGACTGCAGACACACAGTATCTAACAGTCAAGTCTTTCAAATCTATTCAGTATAAAAAGTCAACATACTCTTGAATAATTCAACAGAAATATGCAAATTGATAACATACCTTGAACACCAACTTTTGATTAGTTTGCAAAGTAATGGCCATGTAAACACTTCTCACAAACATGTGAAATGGGCAGAGTTAATGTGATAAATGTATTTAGTCTTTACCAGTTTATTAGGTACATCTAGCTTAATATACAGTCTAATCCAATATTCATGCAATAAATCCTCCCATCATGAAAATGATAATGTTCAGATTTTGTTGCAACTGTATGATCATTTGGGATCACATGGACTGGTGTTTCTGAAATTTTGTCCATCCCATTTATATCAGTGAGGCCATGCTAAATAAAAGAGACTCAGCTGTTTATCAATACAGTTCACCAGACTTCAAACTACATCTGCCAAAATCAACAAATAATGAAATAAAATTTAAATAAAAACTGAACATTCCTCACCAACCTTTATTACCACAGTGGAAAAATGTTCCTTTATACATACATATTACAGTCACTTCAGATGAGGCAACTTGTGTCTGCAATTGAAGGGGTGAGGGGTTTATTAGGTTCACCGCTGATAAAATGAAACATTCAGCCATGCATCAACACTATTTCAGGACACATCTTACCGAGATGTCTTTGGAGCTCGAGGAAACTCAGCGCTCAGGTTCACTTGAGAGGACAGATCTATTAAAACAGATTACAACTGATATAAGTTAAATATAAACCTATTAAATACTTATCATACAAACATAATAATTACACATTAGTGTTTTTACGTATCAGTGAAACTAGGCTCTATATTGTTCCACATTATGAATGTTTTGACTTTTTGAGGAACCTTACATCTTACTACAAACAATGCGTTTAGACACAGCTTATTAACTTATATGAACGCAGAGCTTGACTGTCTCCACAGTAACGTTATAGGGCTAAAGCAACGTTAACTAAGTTAACAGCAGTTCCTAACAGTGCAAAGTTAACGTTACCTTAATGTGTTAGCCAGAGAGCTTCAAGTATAGTCATGGCCAAAAGTGTTGGCACCCCTGAAATTTTTCCAGAAAATCAAGTATTTCTCACAGAAAAGTATTGCATTAACACATGTTTTGCTATACACATCTTTATTCCCCTTGTGTGTATTGGAACAAAACAAAACAAAGAAGGAAAAAAAGCAAATTGGACATAATTGCACACAAAACCCCCAAAATGGGCTGGACAAAATTACTGGCACCCTTTCAAAATTGTGGACAAATAAGATTGTTTCAAGCATGTGATGCTCCTTTAAACTCACCTGGGGCAAGTAACAGGCGTGGGCAATATAAAAATCACACCTGAAAGCAGATAAAAAGGAGAGAAGTTGACTTAGTCTGTGCATTGTGTGTCTGTGTGTACCACACTAAGCATGGACAACAGAAAGAGGAAAAGAGAACTGTCTGAGGACTTGAGAACCAAAATTGTGGAAAAATATCAACAATCTCAAGGTTACAAGTCCATCTCCAGAGATCTAGATGTTCCTTTGTCCACAGTGCGCAGCATTATCAAGAAGTTTGCAAGCTATGGCACTGTAGCTAATCTCCCTGCACGTGGACAGAAGAGAAAAATTGAGGAAAGGTTGGATGTGGATAAGCAGCCACAAACAAGTTCCAAAGAAATTCAAGCAAAAAGCAAGACTACAGTTTACCAAAATGTACTTGAGTAAGCCAAAAGTTCAAGTTCAAGTTCATTTTATTTATATAGCACGTTTTATAGCAGCCACTGACTGACCAAAGTGCTTTACAATACCATTGCATAACAGCACAGCATAGAAAAGTACAGCAAAGTTAAGAACAGCTTTAAACAGGAGTAGCCAAAGCAGTATCAGACTCGTCAACAATAACAATAAAAAACAGAAATGCCAGTATTAGACTTAGATAGAAAAAACAGCATCATATTCCAAGGAGAGAAAAATTAACAAAGAAAAAATCCTTCTGGGAAAACGTCTTGTGGACAGATAAGACCAAGATAGAGCTTTTTGGTAAAGCACATCATTCTAGTGTTTTCCGAAAACGGAATGAGGCCTACAAAGAGAAGAACACAGTACCTACAGTCAAATATGGTGGAGGTTCAAAGATGTTTTGGGGTTGTTTTGCTGCCTCTGACACTGGGTGCCTTGACTGTGTGCAAGGCACCATGAAATCTGAGGATTACCAAAGGATTTTGGGTCGCAATGTAGGACAGTGTCAAAAAGCTGGGTTTGCGTCCGAGATCGTGGGTCTTCCAGCAGGACAGTGACCCCAAACATACTTCAAAAAGCACACAGAAATGGATGGCAACAAAGCGCTGGAGAGTTCTGAAGTGGCCAGCAATGAGTCCAGATCTAAATCCCATTGAACACCTGTGGAGAGATCTTAAAATTGCTTTTGGGAAAAGGCGCCCTTCCAATATGAGAGACCTGGAGCAGTTTGCAAAGGAAGAGTGGTCCAAAATTCCAGGTGAGAGGTGTAAGAAGCTTATTGATGGTTATAGGAAGCGATTGATTTCAGTTATTTTTTCCAAAGGGTGTGCAACCAAATATTAAGTTAAGGGTGCCAATAATTTTGTCCAGTCCATTTTTGGAGTTTTGTGTGCAATTATGTCCAATTTGCTTTTTTTCCTTCTTTGTTTTGTTTTGTTCCAATACACACAAGGGGAATAAAGATGTGTATAGCAAAACATGTGTTAATGCAATACTTTTCTGTGAGAAATACTTGATTTTCTGGAAAAATTTCAGGGGTGCCAACACTTTTGGCCATGACTGTAACTTTAGCCTTTCTGTTAACATTTCTGCGCATGAAAACAGAACTTTTTCACATGTAACAAGGAGAAGCCCCAGATGTAAAAATAATAGGTGTTGATGACTGTCTGGAAAGGTTTCAGCCACTGGTGATACCTGACGCTACTTTTTAGCTAACGGTAGCTAATGTTAGCATAACAGTAACGTGGCAAACTGCCTCCACATACTGACACGGTTATTCCAGTGCACGGTCCAAGTCACAGAACAAAAAAAAAACACTTTCACACTGTAAAGAAACTAGGTTTTATCAAACTTTGTAATTTACGTTATTAAGTAACAGTTTTGCTTCGTTACTTGCAAAGTACGCAAGACGAGTTTTACAGGTGAAAACTTGGTGAAACCTGCTCTCTTTGTTTCCATCAGGCCGGTTTTCCAGTCAGGTAAAACCATTCCTTAAGTATCCTCAAAACTAGAGGTCCTTTTCCACAAACGTTAGCCTTGTAAGCTTTATTTACAGGTGAACTGAGGCAAAAAACGAAATGTGAAAGAAGCTTTATCTCAGCATTAAAGCAACATTATGTATGATTTTATGTACGAGTGTAATTCAGCACGGTTGTAAATAAGGACAGCTGTAAGGTAGTGCGGGGTGAGTTAAACCAGTATTTACTTGAGGCATCTTTAAAGTGAGGACATGATAATAAGGTCTCCATCTAAAATATGTACATTTTAGGATGTGGTGCATCCCTGGGAATAATCACTTTGGATCTAAAATGAACAGTTTTTAACTCAACTTGCCCCCAGTGAGGCGTGAGTTGAGCCTAGTGACAGGATAAGCTGAGTCACATGGGGGTCAGGGACATCAATGTCATTTTGTTGTGCCAACTTCACAACATTTAATTGCACTTAGATCAGGAAATTTTGCAGCTAGACTTTTAATATGTTTCATATCTGTGTATCTCTTAAAAGTCATCCTGTTGATCTTCATGTCCCTTGCCACCTGATGTATGGACTTCCCATTCTGTACCTCTCTCAGTGAGTACACACATTTAAGTACAATTTTGTCTTTTTAGGGGCAATACTTGTTTAGCTTGATAGAGGACCACTAAAGACGTATTATTGTTTCTGTTTCATATCAGTAATTTAATTTTATCATATCTGTTAATTAATTCTGTCATTTTGTGTTTGTGTCTTATTTTGAACTTTATCGACTTTGTTCTCAGTAAGCACAACAGCAGCATGTAGCC